AAGAGATAGAAAGTAAAGTAAAAGAAAAGAAAATATATTTTCATACATGTATTTGGTTAGCATGAAAAATTTCTAAGAAAATTTTAAAACAATCTCATTCCATTGTTTAAAATAAAATAAAGTTATAAAAAAAAATTTCTAATTCTCTAAATTATCTTTAAGTATTTTAATTCGGTCTAAAGAAAAAATATATATTTTTAAAAAAATTGGCTCCTAACCTAATCCAAGAACAAAGAACGATTCGAATTTTAATCTCTAGATCAAATTATATGATTAGTCTAATTTGTACACACTTTTTTTAAATTAATAACTAAGTGAATATTTTAAGAAAAATAAGGTTAAATGAAAAGTTAAGCTATTGAATACAACTTTGTTACTTTTGTGTGTTTTACAAGAAAAAAAAGTTAGTTAAATGTGAGAAAATCTAAACATGAGAGAAAATTATTTTTTTTATCATTTTTTATTTCATGCTAAACAAACGTATGTAAAATTTTAAAGTTTTCTTTTTCTTGTATTTTCTAACTTTCACTTAATTTTTTAGTTTTGTTGTCACGATGGTTTTTAAGGTGAACTCATTAAACAAAGTTATGGTCGCAGTGGGACACTATACCTAAATTATTGGGGTCCACTTGGTGAGAGCTAATGTGAATGGCTAGGTTGTCGTCTAATGCATGACTAAGCCAATAACGTGCCAAAAATGGGCCAATCCATGTTGGCCAGACACTATCCCACCCACCCCCCCCAAAAAAAAGGACGTGAGTGCTGGGGTTAATGAGGAATGACACGTGCCACCACGTGACAACAGCGTGGTGGTGGAACTAAGCGGAAAAATGCAATGTGAAATTTAAAACGGAGCAGTAATATCTATCTTAAATTTGCAATTTAAATTTACATCTCAAATCAAGGAGAATTATTAGATCAATGGGTCTCATTAATTTTTTTAATGAAACCCACTGATCTAATTATTATTTTTGATTTAAAATATAAATTTAAATTATAAATTTGAGATACATATCATTATTCTTTAAAATTTAATAAAATTTTTGATAGATGCCGCATTATTATTGGTTGGACATTAGGCAACCAACCAATAACACAAAGCAAAGCTAAGGTATGTAGTTTTGAATGAAGAATACCCTGTCCACTCTTACTCGTGTCTTACTCGAATGCCGACTGACTTAAGTTTTGGAGGACACCCGACTCCTTTCTTGACTCTTCTTTCATTTTAGGTTCATTGTTTAGAATTATTAAGAGGGTCGTTATCTAAATTCATTGTGAGAATTCATCCGTGCAATTATAATAATTTAGTGGAGACGGATGAATTATAAATTTAGATATCTTAAATTCAAAATTTAATAATTATCTTAGGTTAAATCATAAAAAAAAATTTCTAATTCTAATATCGATGGTCTAATTTTGACAATATCAGAAAAACAAAAAATTGATATACAAAAGTAAATTAATTTAAACACCTGTCCGCTGTCATCGTAATAATAATAAAAAAAAATTAATAATATTAATCTAGCCCAACGCTATCACTTATCTGCTTCTGGTCCAACGTCAGTCAAATGTGATTCGCTGTCTCAAGCTCCGCAATCCTGCGGCAGGTCACCCGCCTTTCATTTTTCTCATGTGACTCTGCCACGTGTCATCGCACCACCGACCATTCACAACACTTGGCCCAGTAGTAATTGACCCTTACTTCTCCCACCAAAGTACGAAAATACCTGCAAGCAAGTATTCAATGTAAAAGGTTAAAAAAAAAAAAAAGTATTCAACATAAATAATTCAGGGATAAAACCTCTGGCAAAAAAAAAAATTCATGGATAAAAAATTCATCATTATAATTTCTTTCATTCTATTTCAATCAAACCAACAACTCATCTTTTTAATTAATTAAAAAATTAATGTAATTTAAATGCATACAAAACTAACAAATATAATTTCTTTATTTATAGTCTCTTCTAAAATAGCTTATATCTTCGACTTGAAAAGCAAAATAGCTTATAATTTTTATTTTTTTTTGTTATTTAGTAACTTCAAGTATGGATAATTACTAATATATGTATATATTAAAAGATATATAGACAAATAAAATACATCACAACACAAATAATTAACTTTACATCTACTTTCCTTTCGATTTTGGAGGGATTGATTTTGGTGAGTTAGAAGAAAAGTTAATTCATCCACTTTCCTTCCGATTTTAGTGGGATTGATTTTGGTTAATTGGAACGAAAATTAATCCATCCACTTTTTCATTATTCCTTACGAAACATGATGTTTTATTTATCACTCAAACTTTTTATACTTCTAACTTTTCATCGTTCCATTTTTTCATCGTACCGAACGGAACATTAATCTTTTTGAATAATATTATATAAACTTAATTTATTAATTTAATCACTTATAAACATTAGATCAACAATAAGTCTTGATATTCGTTAAAATTTGCTACTAATTTGATTATTATTATGGATTAAATTAACAAATTGTATTAATAAATCAAGTTTAAACAAGGATTTTTTGGGTGTAGGTAAAATTTTTTAGACTTATTTGAGCAAAAATGTATAAATAAGTTATTTATTTCATTAAGTACAATTTTTATTTAACTTTTTGTGTTTAGGTACAAAATTCAAATGAATTAAAATACTTTTTACCTATACACCCTTCCTTAATTTATACAGTTATCATTAACAGTTATTTGAGGAAACAAATATGTAAAGATTATATACTCGTTATTATTCATTTTTTAATTTTGAATGAGTAGTTTTTGTGGTATATCTGCAGTAAAAGTGTGTGTTCAACGACTGATAATTTTTTCCGATATATCTCTGCAGAACAAGTCTTCTTCAATGGCCGATTTTATTGCGATTTCGTTCAACGTACGGCTTGGCGATTTACTTCTCTGCTTGAGGTATATTATTAGTTTATTTTTGTTTGGTTCCAAAGTCTATTTTTGTTAATAAATAGAGGATTTTTTCAAAACAAAGAATTGCAAATACCGATCACAACTATCAGCTTAAAGATAAGTTTTTAATAATTATATTTCTTCTTTTATTCGGTTATATTTATTGAGAAATCGTAATTTCGATTTTGTTTTATGTTGTTCTTTGTTGGGATGAAAGAAAAAAAATTACTCTGGTTTTTAATGGGTGTAATTATTTTTCGTATAGACAGTAATTTTTGTGTAATTATGTCGAAACAAAAAATCGCTTTGATTTTTAATGAGTGTAATTATTTTTTAATGGGTGCAACTATTTTTCGTATAAACAGTAACTGTTATAAAACTATATTGAAAAAAAAAAGATTGTTTTGGTTTTTAATGGGTTTAATTTTTTTTTAATGAGTGTAACTATTTTTTGTATAAACAATAACTGTTGTGTAACTGTATTGAAAAAATTAGAGTTCCATTTTTAGTGTAATTATTCTTGTATGCAAGTTTTCAACCAATGGCTATTTTTGGTAGATCATGTATATTGTAACTATTTTGTGTTTTATGTTTTTCTCCCAATATGTGATTAATTAATTCAATCATTTGTATTAATGTTTATTTATGCTGTTTTGTGTAACTGTTTTTCTTTTCCTTTTGAATTGATATAATGACATTCATTTTTTTAATGTCTTAATCAGGAATGGAAGAATGTCCCGTTACACTTCACAAGGTTAATCAGGAATAGAGGTATATCTTCATTGGATGGGATGTCTCGCTACACTTTAGCTTGCTGCATGAAAATCACAGTTAACCCATATTGTAAACAATTACAAAAGATAGTTATGTCACAAAGTTATACAAAAACAGTTATACCATAAAGTTATAACATAGTAGATAGTATAAGAGTTAACACAAACTACAGTAATATATGATGTATCTATATTAACTTAACTATTGGTCCAAACATTGGTAACTGTTTAATTCGTTAGAATGAGATTCATTTTAATTTTTTAGGAGCATTGTAACTCAACTGCACATAGTAACTATTTTTAAAGACACAAGTATTTTACTTATGAATCACTGTAAACTAGAACTAAATTTCATACTATGAACATATACATTTAACACACCATTCGACTTAACAAATACTCAACACAGTTGTAATTATTTAATAACATATACTCAACAGATACTCAATACAATTACCAATAACATATATAAGATTGAAATACTTAAAATCATAAAATAGTTATTCAATACAATTTAACCCATTAAATTTTTGAATATTAATTGTTTGTAATTTGTGATCACAAATAATTACTTAAAACAGTTATATAACTATTTTTAATTAAAAACTTCTTGTTCCAAAGTGTTTTTTCATATGTATATGATTTAATTTTTGTAATTAGGTAACTCAATCGTTAATTACAAACCTGTAATTTTTTACTATCATTTCACAAAAAATAGGATTTTATATTTTTTTTTTCAAAATCAAATTACATAGTTTTGTGAAAAAAAAATAAATGATTAGTGAATGACAAAAAACGAGACATGAATGTCCCCTGCAATTCCTGGTGAAAAAGTGGTCGGAGACAATAAACAGTTATTGGACACTGTAGATGACGATGAACAATTACTGGACCGTAAAAGAGGATGAACAGTACTGTCTTATTTCTCTTTTTTTTGGACGATGAACAGTCATTGTATTTCCATGGCCATAGAATCCCTTTTGCCGAAGAAGAAGGGATTAGATAATTAAAACTTCTATTTTTTAACTCCTATTATTTGATTGTAACCAAAATTTTTGGTAGAAATTCAAATGATTTCTACCTATTTGCACTTAATCGCATGCCAATAGTGTCATTTTTTAAAAATATACACTTTACCCCAAATAAATTTTTGTGTTGAACTTTTACCTAAATAAATCTAAAAAATTGTATAGCTTCCAAATCACCCTTTAAATAATAATTGTTTGGGGGCGAAGATGGCACTTTGGTGATTTTGAAGAAAAGCCGCACTATTTCTGGTAACAAAAAAATATTCGAGTACACTCGGTTGTATTTAATCGGTAAGAGTCCATGAACAGAACATGTGGTCTACGTCCATTTAACCTCCATGTTCGAGCTCTCGAGTCACACCAATCCACATCTTTCTTAGTTCTCGTCCCGAGTCCCAACCCCAAGCTTACCAAACACTGAGAAGCTCAGGCCACCTCCGTCCATGGCGACCGGGTTTTCCGTCGGTAGCTCCCGTTCGTTCCGTTTTGGCCGACACCCATTTCTTGGGCCAAAACCCACATCCACACTTGCCTCCACTTCGCTGCTATTCTCCTCTCCCTCCGTTCAGCGTTTTGATAAGATCATTGGGTCAAGAAGAAAGTTTAGCTTGAATGTTTGTTTTGTTGTAGATGACGAGAAATTGAATACAGAGATTGAGACTCTCACAAAAGAGAGCGAAGAAGAAGAAGAGATTGAAAGGCAAATCTCAGCGTCTGAGATTCGTGTGGCTGAGAGATTGGCGAGGAAGAGATCAGAGAGGTTTACTTATTTAGTTGCTGCAGTCATGTCTAGTTTTGGTATTACTTCAATGGCTGTTATGTCTGTATATTATAGATTCTCTTGGCAAATGGAGGTATAATTACTCTTCTCTCCAGTTTTCAAATCTCTCTCTCTCTCTCTCTCTCTCTCTCTCCTGAAGTTGGGTTGTCCTTGGTTTAGGGTGGAGAAATTCCCTATTCGGAGATGTTTGGTACATTTGCTCTCTCTGTTGGCGCTGCTGTAAGTTCCAACCCACTCATCTATGAGATTTGAAATAGTTGTTTTTTGGGTAAATTTGGGTGGTGAATCGGAATTGGGAATTCTTGAATTTTCAGGTGGGGATGGAGTTTTGGGCGAGATGGGCTCATAGAGCGCTCTGGCATGCTTCGCTGTGGCACATGCACGAGGTTTGGTTTTTGTTATTTCCTTTCTATGCTCTGGTTTGTTTTGGTTTGGTTGCAAAGAAGATGAAACGAAAAAGACAGAAAAGAAATAAATTTAAAAAGGACAAGTAAAGTCAATTGTCATTCTACTTTATTTTACTTTCTTTCGTAGTATTTATCTTCAGGAAACTTTATCTGACTTATGGGAGGTTATGGTATGGTTTTCCTTCAACTTGTTGAATAAATTGCAGTCGCACCATAAACCTAGAGAAGGTCCTTTTGAGCTAAACGACGTGTTTGCCATAATTAACGCCGTTCCGGCCATAGCCCTCCTCTCCTACGGTTTATTCCATAAAGGCCTCATTCCTGGTCTCTGTTTCGGTGCTGTAAGTCTCTCTCTCTCCATAACATGTTCTGTTAACACTTTATGGACCTTGTATAAGTTTGGAGTAATCAAACATCGTATTAGTCGCTTCCACATAAAAAATGAACATGGTATTTGGTAAATTTTTAGCCACGTCTGATTTTAGATAACTCAAATTAGTTAAATTACAGTGATCGATCGTTGATTAGTCGGCACAAAAATAAATACGTATTTAAAAAAAATAAAACAAACATTATCCGGAGAATTCACAATAGTGGTTCGTGTGGACGAAAATACCACTGGAAATGATTAAAATGGCCTGCCCTCTCTGATTTGGTGCAGGGTCTTGGAATAACGGTGTTTGGGATGGCCTACATGTTTGTTCACGACGGTCTTGTTCATAGGAGATTCCCGGTGGGTCCCATAGCAAATGTGCCTTATTTCAGAAGAGTCGCTGCAGCTCACCAGGTAAAAATAAATAAATAAATAAATAAATATACGCCATTAGTCTAATCAAATCATACATGTGATTGGAGTTTCTAAATTGATTATTATTATAACATAAAAATTACATATTATTAGGAATATTTTTCTAACGGAATCTAACCGCCATGATCTTCTTTTTTACTTTAATGTCTGGGCTTTTAGCTCCACCATTCAGACAAGTTCAATGGAGTGCCATATGGGTTGTTCTTGGGACCTAAGGTAGGCAGTCCTCTCTTTCTCTCTCTCTCACACACACACATATTCTAGTCTGAAAATGGTATCATGTGCGTGCAGGAAGTTGAAGAAGTGGGAGGGAATGAAGAGTTGGAGAAGGAGGTCAATCGGAGGATTAAATTGTCTAGTAGTTCATCATCATCAACCTCAACCAGTTAGTGGGATAATACATTGTGAATTATTTAGATAAAAAAATTATTGTGACAAATACAAAGAGCTTGAGCTTGAGCTTGATTGAAGAATGATTAGCCTGGTGTACACCCCTTTTTTTTTTTTGTTCCCCCAACTGCCTGGTGTAGATTGAGTACTCAGTTGTGTGTGTAAGATTTGTATAATAAAATAGAGCATCCTTGTTTTTATCAAAATACCATCTGCTCCATATTATTTACATTTGATGGTTTATATTCTAACTTTGTAATCATCTGTCTACTTATGATTACTCATTTAATCACAATAAACATTTTAATCACCATCCATATTTTGACTATACTTACTGTTTAACTAGAGTTAGCATTTTAACCACTTTAATTAGATGACAACATGAAATCAATTCAAATGGGATATTTTCGCGATATATTTTCCATATAAGTGATTCTCTCACCATAAGATAGCGAGTAATTTACCACTTAGGAAAATTCAAGAAAAAAAAATTTGAAGTACCTGCTTTCAAGAAATCTCATCCTTACCATATAACTGTCCCCAAAAAATAAAAAATTATCTATTGGGTCAATGGTTGCATCCTTTGTTTTTTATCGTGGAAGTTAAAAGGAGATCATTCACACATTTTTTTGTTTGATTAACCACAACATATCTAATGTGATTCAATGATTAGGTTTAACTTTTGATAAGCCAAAAGTCTCGTGTCGAACACCTTATAAACAAAAAAAATCCCAAAACATATTTTACTAGACTAAAATTTAAAAGCTCGAAATTAATCACGCGAATGTTGCCCTCTAAGTTATCCCAACGGATCTTAGAGAGCTAGTGTCACCCATTATTAGCTTGTACAATTCCCGGTCCTTGTAAAGTTGTGCCATGCCAAACCCACTAGACCAATGGGAGCAATTAGCCAAACTCTGCTGGTGGGTGGCCTAAGACACTGTATTTTCCACTCACACCACGTTATACAAGATAAGTTCAATGCACAAGTTTTTAATTATCACGAAATTTTATTTTATTTTATTTTTGGTCAAAAAAGTAAAAATTATCACAATATTAAATAATAACCAAACACGTACAATTTTTTCCCTATATATAAAAAATGTCTTTTAATTCGAATCCGTAACATATAATTTACTGTTGAATAATCTCTGTATCAACGTTTAGACCCGCATCAATAATAAACCAAAAAACAAAAAATGAATTAACAATTCCCCTCACAATATTTGACAGCTGCTTCATTAATTACCAACCTGCTAGCAAAATGTCGCATACTGAACATGAAAAAGGTAGTTTTGAAGAGTATAATGCAATGAATTTACGCCAAGTATCCCTTAGAGATTTCATTGGCAGCGTGTACAAAAGAGTATGTCTTATCTAGTCGACTCCAACAACACTATGGTGGTGTGCTGTGGTGTCTCCTCATGAACCCTACCTGTTTTTGGTCGTGAGCTGATGTAAATCTCCTATTGGACCAAAAATCCTCAAATTACATTGGCAAAATCTTAGTGGCTGAACCACTACACTTTCTTTTTTCCACTTCACTTTTTTTTTTTCCCATGGATTAAGACCCCCCCCGGGGCATAAGCGTCCGTCTCTGCTAATTATTGAGTATTTCTAGATAATATAGAAAACTTTCCACATAGTTAAACAATTTTAGTCCTTAAAAAACATACTTTTAACTCAATTCAAGTTACGTTAGTCAATTGTTAAGTTCAAAAGAGTAATCGATACAAATCTAAACACCCTATAGTAAAAGAAAATTATCATTTATTAATAACATATGATCATAATTCATATAGGTAGCAGTGTCTCAGCCAAGTGAGATTCCTCTAGTATATTTTTTCCTTGCATTTTTTTGTCAATAATAATCATATGTAATCGATTTACATAGAATTAATCATATATAAATCAATCTCTTATCAATGCACAATTAATAATCAAGCATTAAGAAAAGTTGGTAAAAATATACCTGAGATATTTGAATACCACAACATGGAAGGAGTAGGGAGTCATTGAATCTTCGTTCTAGTCAGGGCATCCATCTTAGAAAAATGCATCAACATTATCAATGGAAGACTCAGAATAAGTCTATTTTATTTATGAATTGAATGTTACTCTTAAACCTGCCGTACCAGTAGACGGTTATGGGATAGAAAGCTCGGACGAACCTAAGTTATTCAAAATTGACTCGTTGAAAGATCAACTCTTAGAATAAACAAGCAAAGCTTAAATGTATTTACCTCGATTAGTAAACGAGTCAAACTCATATCAAACAACAGTGAAACTACGAAAGTACTGCCTATCATGCATGCCACCTCACCTTTATTCATCAAAATCTCCGAAAAAAAGATCACATGAACAGCTTAGACAAACTTTTGTGCTGTTGACTTTGACCACCCTATGGTGTCGGCCAAACGAACCTAACTTACCATTATTATTATTATTCATGGGCTACGTGTAAGTTTCACATCAATTGAATTGATTTTGGTGGAAATTATTGTGACCATATATGCACTTTAGTTTATTATTATTATTAATATATACTGGTCATTGATTAATAGTTCATTCCACTTTAAGTGTCAATTAAGGCAAATCAAGTGGATGCTGCTGCAATCGCTACATTAATTGTTACTATTTGAGAAGTATCCTACGTGGTTTCCTCTATTGATAGGGAGATTTCACTAATCCCATAATTTATGTTTATTAAGACTGTAACCTGATCTCATCTGTGTATGGGAAAACTGATTACACAACATTGTGTTTATTGGGTCTCCAAACATGGTTTTTTGGGCTGTTACAAACATGGCGGGCCTTAGCCCAGCCCACACCACTTCTCAGGGTTATATATAGTAGGATCCTAGCACCATTGCCATTGCCATTGCCAGTGCCAGTGCCCCGTCTTAACTATTGTGTGCTTCATCAATTGTAATAAGTGCCAAAAATTACAAAGAGCATAACAATAACATAGTCATCCCAGAGCACTGACATTCAGATATGCTAGGATAACATTTCTCTAGGCAACAAGCAAAAACATAAGAAGAAATTAAATTCGAATTTGATCCATAAACAGTGAGAAACGTTCATTTGTAATAACAGTTCAGCATGTAGGAATCAAGAAACAAGCAAAATCATCCTATTTAACTGTTTCTTACACGAGCAATGCCTGAGAAAACATTCTCACTACCCCAGGTTGCAAGTGCAATGGAATTAAAAAAACTACTTACAAGTGAATATTTAATCAAAAAGATACAAACAGTTCAATCTGAGTCTAAGATTGTCGTTTCTATTACTAGGAAAACATTGAGGCTATTAAAATGGTTATCCTCCTTAGGAAACTATGTTTCTAGCCCACATGGAAGTTTCAGCATTTAGTGCTAATATAGCTGATTGCATAGAGCACTAATTAGCTGTTTCAGCAAAACTATTACAGTTCTCCACCAGATGATTAGGCCAGTCTCGTCATTCACGCAATTCCCCGTCCATTGATTGATCCCGTGATCACGCATCCAATCAGTGCACAGCGAATGAAAAAAGCGTTCCTCCTAGATTCTCTTTCTAAATCAAAATGTCTATCAATTGATCCCTATTCATAGGTCATAGTCTCCGTGGCCTTTTCATGCCCCTCTACTAAGAGGTGCATCATGTTGATAGGAATCGGCCAAAACCTAATTCGAACAATTTTCAACCATGTATTAGTATTACAACATAACATTTCCTCCAAGCGTGCTTGTCTAGTTATTGGCAAGTAAAGGTCGAGCACTCACCTCTGTGTAATAAAATGAAAACTCTAAAATAGTAATAACTCAGTTTTACCTTAAATTCACATGGCTCTGATAATTGTTAAGAAGGAAAAACCCCTTCACTAAAAACCCATAAAGCTCAAAAAGTTCAGACAGAAAACTCATCCCAAACCATCATACTGATAAGAAAATCACATATTTAACTCGAGCAGATGAAAAAAGTTGAGCTGACATTTGTCGCACACAACAACAAAACTTCTAATGTAAGACTGAAACATAGAACAATGAAATATAGTCAAAAGAAAGACCAACAAACCTTTTAGGCCCCTACTATGCACAGCTTCTCAACTACACCTCATCTCCCAACAAGCAGCTCCAACTAAAAGCAGAAGCCAGATACTTGTCCTCCAGTGATCACAATTGCAATAAAATTCCTCAAAACTAGGCCAAGAATTCTAACCGAGTTCAGTTTTTAGCCCCCGAAAAACGAGAAAAACCCACTCTTCTTCGGCTCCTCCTCAACCATCACAGCCCGCATACTATCCTGCTCAACCAACCTCCAAGCAGCCTGCTCAAAAGCCAACCCCGCCAATGTTGGTGGCTGATTCAATACAAGTGGGAACCCCCTATTCGTACTCCGAATAACCTCTGAATCCTCCGGAATCACCCCCAATAATGCCAATCCCAACATCTCCTGAACATCCAGAGCAGACATCATATCTTCCCCTTTAATCATATCTGTCCGAACACGGTTCACAATCATCTTTACGTCCCTAATTCCATCACATTCCAACAACCCAGTAACCCTATCAGCATCCCTTAAGCTCGTAATGTCCGGCGTGGTGACCAAAACCGCTTCATTAGCTGGCGTGATCGCCGTAATGAATCCGGCATCAATACCCGCGGGACAATCTATGAGTATAAAATCGGGGCAACCTTCTTGGCGATCTTTTAATGCTTCCACAATCCAAACTAGTGCTTTTCCACCGAACCCAATTGGGAGTTTGGACCTGGGCTTCGATATACAGAGCAATTCGAAGTTGGACCAGCGTTTATCGCGGACTAGGGCTTGGTCGAGGCGGCAATCGCCGTTGAGGATCTCGACGACGGTGTAATTAACGCGGTTTTCGAGGCCTAACAGAAGGTCGAGATTGCGGAGGCCGACGTCTGCGTCGATGGCGACGACAGAGAAGCCGAGACGGGCTAATGAGAGACCCACATTGGCGGTGGTGGTGGTCTTGCCGACGCCGCCTTTGCCGGAGGTGATGACCACGACTCTTGGGGTTTCACCGGCTAGCTGGGGCTTGCGGTTGTATTGGAGGACTGATAGAATGGTGGTTTTGGTAGGGTAGAGTTTGGGTTTTTGGAAGGTATTCGGAGGTCTCAAGGTTTTGGGGTTGAAGGGATTGAGAGGGATTACGGTAAAGGAGTACAAGGAAGAGAAGGGTTTAGGGTTTGAGAGTAGTTGCAAAGATGTCATTGTTCTGTGTGAGTGTGTGCGTGAGATAGAGAAATTGGGTAGTTTTGAGCATAGTTTTAAAATTCGGTCGCAAAGTAATGGGTTACTAGTTCATCAGTTAGATCATTAATCGATAATATATTAAAAAAAATAATAATAAATTATTAATTGATATAATAAAGTACTAAGTCAAATATTAATAGATAAATAACAACATAATTTTTAAATTTTTTTTAAAATTAATCTAACGACTAATATTAAAATCCTAAATTTAATAGAAAAAATAGTCTTGTGTTTATAGTAATTTTTTAATAATGTTTTTAGAAATTATTTTTCATAAGTATTTTAAAAAAAGATAGTGTTTAGAACCGTTCCACCACTAGCTCTATCACTACCACCATCATCATTATCACCACCACTGCCACTGTCGTTGTCACTACCACCGCTGTCACCACCATCATCATTATAACCACCCTACCACACCCACCACTGTCCCACCATCACCACCACTTCCTCTACAACCATCACTACAACTACCCCTCACTGCCCCATCACCATCACGACTATCACAACTACCATCACGACTATCACAACTACCATCACGACTATCACAACTACCACCACCATCGCTAACCCATCACCGCCACCCCATCATTGTCACTGCCCCATTTGCACCCCCACCTTATCCTCACTACCCCACCACCACCACGACCAGCACAACTATCACCACTATCGCTAACCCACCAACGCCACCCCCATCACTGCCACTGCCCCATTTGCACCCCCCACCCTATCCTCACTACCTTACCACCACTATCACCACCCACCACTGATTGTTACCATCGTTGTTCACTATTACCACCCACTATCATTATTATGTTATTCTTATATATATATATTATCATTACCACCATCATCCCACTACCATTGTTGCCCGTCGTCACCCACTACCACAACCCACCACCACCCTGTCGTCGCCCACCATCGCCACTAGACACTTTCACCCACCCTCACACCCACCACACCTACCACTAACATCCTTCATTTTCTCACCACTGCAGCCACCCATTGTCATCTATCTCCACCACACTTACCATCACCGCCATTCGCCACCACCTATCACACTGTCACATAAAAGCACTCATCATTACCCACCACCACCATTGTCATCACCTACCATCACCGTCGTCGTCCCATCGTGGTCCAACCATCGTCATCGTCGTCCACCACCACCCACACCCATCATTGCTATTGTCGCCACCCTCGACTGTCACTACCATCATCATCGCCTAAAAACCACCACCACCACCATCATCGTTGTCACCAACGACTACCATCCCCACCACGGTTGTCACCACCCACCACCACCACCATCCATTAACACCACTCACCCCTATTACAATCGGTATTTAAATTTTTTTATCTCTTCTTTATATTTGTGATTTAATTTTGGATGAAAATACAAATATGTTTATTGTTGACTATTTTTTATTATTACTTCGTGCCTGAAGGCATGAAAAATAACTAGTAAGAATAAATAGACTAAAACATTATAAAAATTATGAAAATAACATGTTTAATGTATTTTAAATCCAAAAAAAAATCAAAAATTATCTATCTAATGCATTCAATAATGGAGATATAACAAATATTGGTGTTCAAGCTAAGAGATCCATATATCCAAAAGACAAATAGGAAACAGATTAACATGCATTGCCAATAAATTGTGACGAACCTATGCAAACAACCATCGATATGAGACTCTCAGTGCAATACAACAAAATACAACAAAAAAATGCCAATAAGCATAAATTCACATGAATAAAAAAAAAGGTAAATTACACTCACATCCCTTATCATTTGGCTTCATTACACAAACACCTCTTACATTTCAACAATTACACTGAGATCCCAATGACTAAACGAAGTTAACTATCTTAATAAAAAGACTATTTTGCTCCTTTCTTTAGCACAAACTCAAATCCAAACCCTGAGCCCTATCCCTAACCCTAATTTTCATTGCCCTCTACATCAGTGATCCCAACGCATTTTCTCTAACTTTTTTTTCTCTCTCTCTCCCTGAAGAACCAACCCAAAATCATCAGTCTTCTCTCTCTCCCTCAGCCCATCTCTATGCATTTGTGTGTGTATATACACATAGACAGAGAGAGGAAAAACATGCCTGAAATTATAGAAGAATTGGTGAAAATTGCCAACCCCTCCCCATCACTGCAGCACCCTCCAGTAGCCACCCTCATCCAAAAACATCAACCCACGAAGCAAAGAACATTGGGAGAGGGAGAGGGAAAGAGAGAGAGAGAAATCGAAAAAGATTCTAAGCTTTAAAAATTTGAGAAATTGAAAGGACAACGGTGATTTTTGGAGTTCGATTTTGACAACGATGGTTGTTGGGTTTTGTGTGTGGTGTAGTTGAGGAGGTGGTTATGGAGATAAAAATGGAATTGCAGGTGGTGGGATTTTGCTAGATTATGGTGGTAGTGGTGTGTGTTGTGTGGTTGTAGAGATGAAAATAGAGATAGAGGTAGGGGGTTACTTTGTCACTGACAGTGGTGGTGCTCTATGTATGTGTGTGAAGAGAGAGAGAGAGAGAGAGGAGGTGGTGGTGGTTTCCGTGGTGTGGAGACGACAATGGGTGGTGGTTAATGGTGAATTTAGGGGCAAATATGGATTGATAAATAGAATTTATATAAATATGTTGTATAATAAACAAAAAATTCTAGTATTTAATTGATAATTTGATAGATTATGAAATTAAATATTGAATAGGAAAAATTTTAGTTTAAATATGAAATATAAAATAAAGAAATGAGAGATGAGAGATGGGATAAAATTTTGATGGTAATAAGAACAAATATTTGAATTTTTAAATTTAGTTTTGAAGGGTATTTTTGATATTTCACAAATTATTATTGATGACATCAACTTTGTCTATGAACCATTCTAATGTCTGTTAGCTAGAAAGTGTGTGGTTGTTATAAATTTTAAATGTTGAGAGAGTTTTGTGTAATTGTTGAAATGTGAGGGGGTGTTCATATAATAAAACCAAATATCATAGGGTGAGTGCAATTTATCCAATAAAAAAAAAATAAATTGATAAACCTATAGATCGATGAATCCATGCATATCAATACCACACACAAAAATAGACACAGATAGAGATAAACTGTGGTGTAAAACACACAAACTCAAATTATTGACTAAATGATGAAGATCTGTTGTGGGATTCGAAGATCTGAGTCAAAGATCTGTCTGAGAATCTAAGTCCTTCGATTGAGTGATGTGCTGAGTGCACTGTGTAGCGAGCGAGAGAGAGAGAGAAAGAGAGATGACAGGCTACTGAGTGACCAGTCGCTGCCTTGTCAGAGTAGTAGTCTAGGAGTAAGGCACATGAATGAGAGAAGTAGAAGGAATATCTGGAACATCGATCAAATTTGGGCAAAAATGTCATAAGCCTGCCTTTCATAACATTCTAATTAAGCTGTTCGGTTTGCTCTAAATCGTCCGGTTTTGCAGGTTCGTTACAAAAACAACCGGGTCATCTGATTTTTCCTACATCCTTTGCTCAAACGATCTAATACTAAATTGACTTAGTTCAGACTCTGGTTCACTGGATCAACTCATCGGGCCAGATTGATTTTTGAAACAATGTTTTCAAGAGTAACTTCGGGTTAATGAGTTCAACATGAACACGAATAATATGTTAGGTTGTAAATGAATAGATTCAACACAGTATGATTAATAAACGAATCGAGTATAAATGAAGTTAATAAAAAAAAAATATGCGACACGACTCATTTATATATTAATTATATACGATTTATACATAACACAAATCCGATATAACATAATTCGTTAGATACAAATTAATAAATGAATCAGATATAGATAGAATATTTTCTGACGTAAACTCATCTCACTAGACATGAATAAGAGATCTAATATTGATTGTTTTAAGCGGGATTCTTTTACTATTGGGTGAGAGACTATTCCCCCAAAATAACTATCCTACCCCCATTAAATTTTTTAATACAAAACTATTAAGTCAATGTCATTCTATTTTTACCCATTAAGTTAGTAAATATATGCTTATCACCCCCATTGTACATAACCCCACTCACTTAGTTTAGGATTTTGTGTCGACCAATACTATGGTAATGAGTTTTTGCAAGAGATCACAGTTTCACTCGAAAGGATCATCGATGATGCTTGATGATACCCAAAAAATGACATTACGAACAAATAAAAGGATATTTATGTAACTGACTTTGAAATAAGCTAACAGAAGAGGTCTATATATGAGTTCATCGTCAAATAAAAAGTCAAAGTTATTCACGTACATTCTTAGTTAAAGGAATTCAGGTAACTCAAGAACAACCTCAAGTGCAGGTGTCCAGGTCGTCCATGCTACTCCATGAGGGGAATCATCATTTCTAACTCAGGATAGGTGGGTAGGTGACAATCTAATTTGAATGTGTTTATTTTATTGTATGTAGTTCATATCTTATTCATAAATAAAATTATTTATTATTTATTTTTTGTCTATTTTGACTCTACTTGTAATTCAAAAATATAATTTACAAACACATTAAGTTAAAAAAATTTTAATTATTTTTAAATAAAATTGTATATAAAAAAAATTTCACCAAGTGAGTGACTGGTATTCGAATAAGGACTTGAGCCTATCCTATTCAAACCTGACCTAAAAAAATATTTACCGACCTAACCCGGCACTGCCCAATGACACCCCTAATCCCAGAACTACTACTACAACCAAAATTGGCTCTCAACCGGGGTCTACCTAAAAAGTAGTAGAGGAATTTCACCCCTGCTCAGTGTTGTTTTGCACGACAGACTTATGATGTAATATTGCACAAGCAATTTTGCATTTAAATTATACCCGTTGTTTTTGGCCCTTTTAGAACCATTTGCATATTCATTCTGCAAAAGGACTTGCTTCTCCTATAAGGTTGTTTCTGTTCCATTAAAAATAATAGAGACTGGAGTAGATGTTTGGTCTCAAATGACCGAAACCTAAGTAAACCTTTCATGGCCACTGCTAGAAAGTTAACTAAAGGAAAGGTTGTCCTAGCTATGTGGAGTTATCTGTCACTTTATTCTTGAGCACTTCCTGAGGAAAGCTCTCTGTCTCTTTTTTCCGGTGCTGTTGTTTAAGCCCCTGGCCTATAGTGCAAGTTTTGTTTGCTGCTTCATTGGATTCCCTCCCTGTAAGTGTGTGATTCATACTCCAATGAGAGGGTGGTTTTTGAGCAACTATTTCATGTCCTGCCTCCTAGATTATAGGAAGGATTGTTCAATGCTGTTTGACATTGAAATTTTTTAGTGAGTTTAAGGCACCAAAAATAAAAAATTGTACATTTCTATTGAATATCTGTCACTTATTATTTTATCTCAATTTTTCTTTGAAAAATTCAACTTGTGTGGCTCACAGGCTATTTTTGTGACAACCTCTCATTACATGTGTACACAACATAACAGTGCTATATGGGGTGTTACACTCCTACAAAATTTTCCAGTGAACAACAGTTTGCCAATTGCATTCTAATTATCACATAATTCCATTCCTTATTGGTAGGATGCATGAAAAATAAAAATGATTAATTTTTTTTTGTGCTTGGTAAATAAAAAAATATATATATTTTTTTAAACAAAGTATAAATACATATTTTATAATTATATTTATATATAAAATCAATATATACATAATATATGTATATATCAAAAGAAATATAGACGGACTTGACTATGGTGCAGACAACAAAATTTCGGTACCATACCTCCAAAATTTACTATTTCAAAGGATATTTTAACAACTTTTGTGAGTCATTTTACAATCAAAATATTTATCATTTTTGTGGTTGATTTACTATTTTTTTGGGTGTTTTTATCACTATTATAGGTATTTTTATCACATTTGTGATAACTATTTTTATCATGTTTCTTAAGTACAAAAAAAGATTATTAATTTTGTGACTAATTTATTATATGTGTGAGTATTTTTATAACATTTGTGAATATTTTTATTACTTTTGTGATAAATATTTTTATTATTTTTTTGGGTATTATAACAATAATAAAATTATTCATAAATGTGATAAATCACTATATAATACTGAAAGTCACGTGGGATGTAGCAGAGTGTACTCCCCAAATAGGTGGAAATAAGCTCAACCTTATATATATCCTACTAATTGTGACGGGTAACACTACTATACCGTTAACTTGTTTTTCGATATTATACCAAAAAAATAAATAAGTTTATTTATATTACACGTGGCTGATTAAATAAAATGTCGGTACCGTACCAAAAAAAGGAAAATTCGGTATTGTTGTGTGACCCAATTGTGATACGATGACGTTTAATAATAGTCGTAATGATTGAGCAATGTAATGCTTCTTCCCAAATTCTTTAGTTTCGATCCCCGAGAATTCTTAAAATCTGTAAATAAGCCTCTTGGTTTATCTCAAATTCTTTTTCAAACCCCATTTACTCAATCATCCGGAATTGCCAAGTGTCCTTCAGACAAGCGGTGAGATCGTAGCCCTTCTCTCTATTTCATCCATGCGCCACGTGTCCACATCACATTTCCAAATGACACTTCTACCCTTCTCCTACTCATCCCCGTCTCCCACTCATCGGCAATCTCATGTGATCGGTTATACTCTCTCTCTCTCTCTCTCTCTCTCTCTCTCTTTTCCGTATTATAGGTTTTCTTCAGATCCTCACTCCCTCTACTTTACCCAACAGCAACAGAGATAATTGGGGGCCATCCTTCTCTCTATCTGTGCCAGGTTAGATTCGTTTATCTCCGTTGTTGGTTTCATTTGATCTTCACTTATTGTTGCAATTAAATGATTTAATCTTGTGGGTTGTTGCAATTGAATGATTTAATCTTGTGTGTTTGATTTTCCCTTGACTTATTGTTCCAATTGAATGATTTAATTTTGTTTTACTTTGACCCTTTGCGTGATTTGGTTTACTGGGTGTTCTGTCCTGGTTATTGTTAATGTATAACAAGAACTAATTATGGTTGAATTGGAGGTTTTTTTATATGGGTTAGATAGTTTAGATGCAAAGTGAATTTGGATCAGTACAAAAAGTTTGTTAAGCGGATCCAAGGGATGTGGGTTGATCTGATTTTTGAGTCTTCTCGTTGATTTCATCGATCTAATTGGGGTTTTCTTTGAATTCCTGGTTATTTGCTAGAGAATCAAATGTAATTACGATCAACCCAGTAAATTGTCGGTAAAAAGGCAAAAACATGGTTTGAGTTGATTCTGTTGTATGCATAACAGTATAGTGGGAGTCAATTCAACTTGTTTGGGGTTATTAGCTGTTTGAGGTTGATTGTGGGTACAACAAATCAGAATGATATCGATTCAAGGGCTTGAAATATCTATATAATAAAGTAACTTACAATTTAAATCTGAAAAGATAAACAAAATGACTTTTACTATTCGCGGTTGAGATTGCTTTAAATTTTACTTTAAAGTTAATCTAATGACTAATATTAACACCCTAAATTTAATCAAAAAAAATAGGTCCTTAAGTGTGTGTTTGGATTGACTTTTTAAAAGTACTTGTAGAAATTATTTCTCATAAATACTTTAAAAAAAGAAAATAGTGTTTGAAATCGTCTCACCACTATCTCTACCACCACTACCTCTATCACCGCCACTGCCACTGCCACCATCACCGCCGCCGCTACCGCCGCACGCCATCGCCACTGTCGCCGCCACCCTCACCACCACTGCCACCACCACCGCTAACCCTACCATCAGCGCTCCACCACCTCCACTGCTATCGGCGCCACTACCACGGTTATTGTCATCCACCACAACCATCACCATCTCCTACTACCACCACTGTCGCTCACCACTTTTTAACCCCACTATAAACTGATGTTTAAATTTATTTATCTTAATTTGATTTTGAATATGAATACAAATATATTTATTGTTTACCATTTTTTATTACTCTGTGCTTTCAGGCACAGGCAATAACTAGTTCTTCTATACAATAGAAGTAACTATGAGAGCAATTTGATTTTGGCAACATAATCTCAGTTTTTCAGAATTTTAATGCTTTAATCAGTGTGGAACACAGTCACTTTGGGTAAATGAGTCGCTTGGAGTTTTCATTATGTACCGGTGCTTGTGCTTGTTTTTGCCCATTGTTGTCTATTCATAGAGTTCATATGTACTTATGTAGATATACTAGTCATAACCATGCAACATAAAATCCGAGTGTCCAAAAATCAATACCACTATATTAATTAACATTTTTCTTTCCTTACATTTTTTTAATTACATGACTTGAAATTAATTTCTACCCATTGTTTATAAAAAAATCAGTAATTTTTTTTAAAATGCATGACATTAAAAAATATCAACATATGTACATTATCATATATAAACAATGTTTGAAATAAAAATTATAATAAGCCACAAATTAATCAATTAATAATTAAACTTGATATAGAAATGAGTAATGTGATAGAAATAGACAACAAAAATATAGGGATAAGATTCAAACTTCTAGCCCCTTTATTGTATAGATTTGTACTCATTGCTTATAAACAAATCGGTAATTTTTTTTAAAATGCATGACCTTAAAAAATATCAACATGTGTATATTATTATATATAAACAATGTCTGGAATAAAAATTGTAATAAGCCACAAAATAATCAATTAATAATTAAACTTGGGCTAGAAATGAGTGATGTGATAGAAATATACGAAAAAAATATATGGGGATAAGATTCAAACTTCTAGCTCCTTTATTATATAGATAGTGTTTGATCAAAAAAAAAATTATATATTGTAACTGGTACTGGGATTCAACTATGATTTGTGCATGTTTTCTTGTGCTTTCTTTGTTGTATGCACATAACAATGTTTCCTTTTTTTTAGCACTTATGAAATTTTCTGATTTCTGCATCTTACATATTGCGGTTCTGTGGTTTTGCTGCAGGACAGAAGGCCACGTGATTTTTTTGAACCAACTGGGATTATTAAATTTTTTGTGTTGAAATTAGTTTGTTAGTTTTATAAGGGGTACACAAGATGGGCAAATGCAAGGGTTGTGGGAAATTAGGAAGAATGCTACTGAGGGATGGATATGTGAGTGCTTACCACTTTTCTCTTTTGCTATGTCCTGTTGTTTCTGTTTGGGAGTGTATTGTTCGTAAAATGAGGTATTCCTTCAGACCCGAGTGCGTGTAGGTGTAAGTGTCAAGATCTTAACGTCATAGTGATTTTCAATTGGGGAATTAATTAGCAGTAATTAGTGTTAAATAAAAAGGAAAAGGAAAAGGAATCATTTATAGAGATAATGTCTGTGTCATAGATAAGTTTCATGTGAAAAAAAAAAGTTGCAGTGGGAAAAATTGAGCGGACGGGACAGTAGTTACAGAGCTTTGTGTTATTGAATAAGATGGATTGTGCAAAAGCGACATCTGATGTTAGAAAGGTGAAGAAGAAGCAAGTGAGGGATGAGTTGGATCGTATCAAACGAGCTGCAAAGAAAAAGAGGCGTTTAGAAAAAGCATTGGCTACTTCTGCAGCCATCTGTTCTGAACTAGAAAAGAAGAAACTGAAAAAGAAAGAAGAACAACAGAGGCTTGATGACGAGGGTGCTGCTATTGCTGAGGCAGTTGCTCTGCATGTCCTACTTGGTGAAGACTCGGATGATCCATGCAAAATCATGATGAAGAAGAATGAGGGGTTCAACCCTTGGGATTGTGGTAGCGATTTTGATCTCTTTGTGGGGGGAAGGAAAGCAGCCCTTACTCATCAAGGCCTCCCGAAGTATTCAGTTGAAGGAATTGGATGGGTTTCTGATGCTCATATTTCTGGATGCAATTGGAATAACTGGGGAAACAGCACCTGGACAGTTTCATCTAATCCTTTTGCGATGGATTTCCAGACACCATACTTTGATGAGGGAGGTTGGAGGACTTCAGAAATCTCTGAAGATCTTATTGCAGCACAGGCAGTTTCGTCACTCCAAATTGCAGAAGATGCACACATAGACGCCTTTGTCTTCAACCAGATGTTTAGAGGGTATGATGAAAAGTCTTAGTTCTCTGGTTGAGTCACTTTGTGGCGTCTTTAGTAGTCCACAATACTCAATAATGTTTTGTATATATTTTCTGGTGCACGTGTCCTTCTTGTTTATCGGATAACCTGCTTGTATCATTCCAAACATAATTCGTTGTCATGCTCTCGAGCTTTTGTCCCTTATATTTGCATCTGAGTATTTTTAAGTCCTTAAGACGTGGTTTTCTGTGTGTTGTACAAACCGGGTATTCAACACAAGGTAATGGCACTGGCAGTGGCATGAGAAACATCGGCAGTTTTTTTGGTCTGGAGTGATATGTTATGCATATATGGCGGTGTTGTTTTAAAGTGACATGGTTTGAATGAGCTGTAGGCACGACATACTTTGTGTTCTCCTTTCCTAGTGGAAGGGAAAGTTGGAGTTGAGCTAGTGTTATGGTGCTTGTATGAAGCATCAGTGATGAGAAGATATTCACTTGATTATAACCTGTAATCACCTTACTCCCACTTTTAGACCCTTACTCTCTCACGTGCGCGCGCACACACATATCATCTTAATATTCTCCATGGCAATAATATCAAGAAAGCTGGTTGTAGTTTAAAATAGCACATGCATCTCGCAAATGATTGGTGTTAGAATTTTTCACTAATCTGGTGTGATCAGTCTCATCCGTGTAAGAATTAGAAATTTTCTCTTCTGACTTGTCCGATAATGGGCGAGAGATGGTACGAGCGGTCATCTAATGATGTAAAGCAACTTTGACGTTGCCATGATTTCCGTTCGTTGTTTCCCTCGTGAAGTCCTTGTACGTGCAAAGGGATATTGGAGCTCGTAGTCCCCTAGAAATTTGCTGCACTCTGGAGAAACAGAATATTTTAATTTAACTAGAGCGCATGTTGAGCAGCCCATTATAGTAGTGAATCATCCCTAATGACCAGTTTCGTGCAATAGGCTGATAACAATTACGCAATACAAACTATACGTACGTCGGAGTGACTGATTTGACAGAAACCCTTCCAAGTTCTATTAACGATTCCAGAGGATTTGAAAATTAATCACTTCATTTCGAGCCACTGAAAGATGGAAAAAACTAGGAAGAATGATGTCTATTCAATGTAACTTCTGTCTCTTGGGCAGCAACGAGGAATTCGCAATTGGAACAAAGACTGAACATTACACTTTAATTTCACAATGAATAAATTGATAACGGCTTTGCATGGTCAACTAGTAAACTTGCAATAAATGTCTTGAGGAAACACGACCTTAGATATCATGTCGTGAGCTCTGTGGCAGGGAAGTCTCTGCATCTTTCCGCTGTTGCTGCTGGATAATGTTCTCATCTGGGTCTTCGGGTTCTGAAGTACCTGATGGTTTGGCACCAGTAGATACAAGATTTTTAAACCAAGTAACCTGAAATCTGGGAGTTCCTCTATTCGAATTGCCAGGGGACTCTGGTGCCACAATTGAATTGTTGGAACCAACACTCGCAAGAAATCGATAGGCGACTTTGCTGGCTGATACTATCTCTGTTTTAGCTTGTCTCAGCTGCAAAAACCCGCAAAAACGATCAGCGAAGAATTATACTCAACCAGCACTTATAAGGGGAAAAACAGGCAAGAAAAAACCACTCCAACATGCTTGGCTTCAATAATTCTATGCATTTTCAGATTGGCTGTCAAAATTACTGGGATCAATGACAGATAGTGCACAAAACAATAGGTTGGTTGCATTTCAAAATATTAACATGCAACAAGAAAATGATTTGCTGTGTGGGTGAGCAGACAGTTTCCTTTTTTTTTTCTTGGTCCAGGAGAGAGGAGGTAATCGAACTTCAGGCCACAACATTCCGCTCAAAATTAAGTGAAAGAGAATAGGTATCATTTCAGAAGAATGAGAGGATGAACTCACCCTAAAGGCTGTGTTTCCTGCAATTTCAACAGCAGTGTCACCCGCATTGGCAAACCTGTTAACCCAACCTGAGGCACAAGTTATGAGAACATGCTTTACATTGCAAATTACAAAGAAGAAACCATGCTCTGAACATAACTTCTTTTTTTCATTGATAAAGGAACATTGAACAAAAGCACTGAGAACACGATCATAATACATACAGATGAATCAGACTGATATCTAAAGGAAAAGAAATTGAAAAAGGACAAATATAATTTATATAGCAACATCGCATAACTTTTAAGACAACACAGAATTACGTTCATAAATTTTTCTAAGATACCAATACTGGGAAATTCGATTGTGACTAGATCCAAAATACTTCTGACATAGTATAATTTTCAAAACTCAGACCTCTTCAATGGTCATGTGCTTTGTATGTGGCTGCAACACCCGTTGACTGTACAGAGATAAATACAAGGTATTTACAACATATTTCAAACTTTTACAATGTTTTACTGCAATGTTCTTTTCGAATAATTTATGTGTATTGGAAATGAGAATGTTAAGGTGGATGTGGGGAAAAACTAGAAATAATAGAATAAGAAATAACCGCATTAGACAAATGATAGGAGTAACTCTAATTGAAGATAAGTTAAGAGAAAAGAGATGAAGATAGTTTGATCATGTTCAACTGAGGCCGATAGAGGCACCGGTTCGAAAAAGTGAGAGAATTTCTTTTAATGATACTAGAAATAGGGGTAGACCTAAATTAACATTAGATGAAATAATAAGAAAAGATATGAAATTTTTTAACTTAAATGAACATATAACACATAATTGAAATGAACGGTGAAAACGAACACATATAGCAGACCCTAAATGATTGGGACATAAAATTTTGTTTGGTTTATTTCATTCTTTTCGAATAATTTATTTGAGTTGGTAGGTCTTTGTTGGGTGGCCAAGCATTCTATCTCATCCATGTTTTCGGTAGTTTACAAAAGTTTGGGTGGTGGTGTAAGGGGTGTTACTCTTGAACATTGTTTACTTTGCAATTGTTTGTGTCAATTGGTTGGAAAAAAGTTCGACAATTTTTCAAGATAAAGTGGAAGTGATGGAAGGGTCGTCCGATTGGATTTAATTCTTAGCCTCTTTTTGTGCTTTAAGTGACAACAAAATTTGAGCATATCCTTCTTTTTTTTTGGGATGGCATCGTGCGGAAGCTAGTGTGAGTTTTTGGAGGACGTTCCACTGTTTTATGTTTTTAAATGTGATAGGGTTGGATGTCCACCTTTGCTCAGATAATGTAAAACTTTAACTATCAATGAAAAATTTATTATTATAAAAAAAAACCCATTAACTGCTATATACTCCAGAAGACAGAAACTCAAATCCTTAATGAAGTTGTAGGCTGCTACCACAGGCCTATATGCCGTATACAGGCAATTATACGCTAACGCAAACCTCATTCCAGCCATAAAGGGTGAGCTACAGCAAGTCTGTGATGTTACCATTCAGGCCTCCAGAACACAGTAAAAAACACAAAAAAGACAGGCATTAACTTGTCCAAAGTCCAAACATATTGCAGGAAGCTGAAGGAATGTAAATATCTCCAAAGATTGCGTCCAAATTTTGCATGGCATGTTTACAAGCACATCACACTTTCTATTAAGCAATTTTACATGCTTAGGGATGGAACACACACCAGTAGAAAAGCATGCATGATTGCAGTTATTTCAAAGATAGGAAAAAAATCATGTAATATACGCTTTTGCATTCTCAGATATGTTCCAAGAACATCGTGTATGCATATGGAAAAGAAAATTGAGATAACATGCTAGTTACCAGGAAGTTTAGGCACGCCTAGTCTTTCACAGAATTCATCACAGAAGTGATTACAGTTTTTTGACAACAAATCATATGAGTTCCCGGGCCACTCTCTACTAAGTTCCCTCAGGACCTGATTGACCTTGAAGATGGAAAAATCTGTCTTTCCAAGCACAATGCACTCGCGATACTTGTACATTGGGTTCTTTCCAGAAGGACAACTAAAAACACCAGTGCCTTCTTCACAAAACCCAAATGACCATTCCTCATCTCCATATACCTGTAATAGCATCCGCAATGCAAGTTGCTCAACACAAGCATCAACATTTCAATTAGCAAAAACAAAAGGTCACATCCAGAAACGCGTTAAGGAAGTTAGACTAAAAAGCAAGTCAATCCAGTAAAACATTCCGTTCCTTTCCTTTTTTTTTCTTGTTCTCTTTTTACCCCCTTTAATGATAAGGTTGAGCATTCCCTTTCAACAGCACATATATATTTCATATTGAATTAGAATGGTATAAGACCAACAACATGGATGGAGGCACACAAATGCATTGTACAATTCAAGTCTACACAAAATTTGCTCACAGCCAGTTAGTTAATTTTTCATTGCTACAACAAAATCATACAAAGCGCCACCTGAATTGAGACATTCACAGGTCCACAAAGTACATATATACTTCACAGTTGATGAAGGACGAGGTGCAATTCAACGCACTTTACACCACGAGAAAACTATAATCTACAACCGAATGTTCAATTAGTTGTCTACCGACTAATAAACCTCGCACCAAACGTGATCGGTTTAACCAAAGCCAAAATCCCCAACACCAGAGCACCAGAAAATTTAAAGCTAAAACCTTAGATCCCGTCAGATATCCAGAATTGCTCGATTTGTAATAGCAATCATATTAGTCGCATTAAGACACAAATACAGATGCATAGATGAATACACACACACAAACACAAACACAAACACACACACACACACCTGGACGGCGCTGTGGAATATGCCACCAAGACCGATGCCGTCCTTGAAGATCTTGTTGATCTGAAGAATGGTGTTGTTGGTCTTATCTGAACCACTATTGGTGACGTCATATATATGGAGGATCACCTCCATCGTCTTCAAATACCGTTCTTTCCAGAAATCGATTCCACAAACCCTAGTCCCCCCAATCTCTCTCTCTCTCTCTCTCTAACTCAGATCGAACAATTCAAATTCAAAACCAAACAGCGACAACAATGATTATCAGCACCAGCGATCACGATTCATGACACCCCATCACCCCCTTTTCATCCCTTTTCGCTGTCTTTGTAGATTTAATTATTGCTATTGTCTCGATTCGCTCAATTTCTGGATTTTACTCCTTCTCCTTGGATTAATGTAAAAGAGTCTGAAAGTGTGACGCCATAGACAAGTACGGATATGGTAAAATCTCTCACTCCTTCAAGTGGGCAAGTTTGTCTTGAATTTTAGAGTTTGTATTAAAAAAAAAAATTCATTCTTATTTTATTTATTTATTTATGTTTAATTAGAATCATGTATAAATTATATATAACTGATATATAAATTAATCGTGTCGTATATTTTATTATTTAGCTTTATCATACTCCAATTCATTATGTCGGATTCTATCGTTTATAAAATGGATAGTTTAAAGAAAAATCTAAATCCTTTAATTTATTATCAAGTTAATGAGTTATGCCATATTTTAATATCAAAAATAAATATTTTTAAAAATTAAGAGTCGTGCGGAGTGAAATTACGAAAGTGGGGTAGGCAAGAGACCAGACCCACTTTGTCACGCACGCAGTCCATTATTAACTGCCGACACAGAAAAATGGAGTGCACTCTCATAATTCTAATTCATTCAGAAGACAAAGATTTTTCAAATAAGGTGATTATATGATAAGAATTTCGGGTCTTAATGTAATTGTACAAAAATACTTTTCGTTTTAATCATTCTTTTCTTTGGTGTAGCATACGGATCCAAAAGCCCTCAAACCAAGCACCTTTTAAAATGTAAAAATAATAGTATTTTTGATTAGTAAATTACTCATTGTTTATTAGCCAGGGATCTTAATACCAGAACAAGTATTACACTAGAATTCATATAATGCAAAAAAAAAAAAGATTTTGAGGACCTAAACAATAGAATTCGGCATCAAATTGATAGAGTTCATGGCTTAGCCAGGAATCTTGATCATTAGTTCATGGCTTAACCACTGATCTCATGGCTTAACCACTGATAGAGTTCAAATTGATAGAGTTCATGGCTTAACCACTGATCTCAATCTATTCCTAATCCAAATTATTTTAACCATCTATTCTACATCATTCTCAATTATTCAAAAATTATCAACTTCACCGAGGAAAAAAAGAAGATAAAATATACTTGAGACAATCTTAATCCCAATTATGACAAAAAAATGTCAAATTTCACCCCAACTTTTAATGGCAATCTCCCCCCAAAACTTGGAAAAGGTAGATGAGAATCCCGCCTATGAAATTTGGCTTTTGGCCGAAAAGAGATTCCCCTTTGGAAAGAAAATCCCACTTCATAGCTTTTAAAAACTGGTATGTACATGTAAAGAGAACCAACAAATCCCAAGTAATTCAGGTGATAATAAGGATACGTCATAAACTCAGACATTTTAAATTTGAATCTTGAAGAATTTATTTCTCATGAATGTTCTAATTCAAATATAAATGGTCTGTCTTTGACCGAACAAAAAAAAAAATCAAGAGAACTTACAAACATTTAAAAGTCAACCACCGTAACCGAGTGAAAGGAATAGAAGCTTTCCCTCAAATTATGATGAAGAAGTCTTCTTTTTTCTACAGGGACCCTTGGTGGAGGGTCCACCATTCTACCCACCTTCCTTCTGAGTGGCCATACCGACTGCATATTGTCCACCATGACAGGGGCCCTCAAAAAGGAATTGATTAATTCACTGGAAAATGCAGTATCAAGTGAGCAATTCAAGCCATTTGTTGCAGCCATAGCATGCGATAGTCTTACCAAGAATGAAAGATTTGAACCCTTTTATTATTCATGGAAAATCCTTACACAGTTCATCAGTGTCCAGTTCGTCCAAAGCCCTTTTCTCTTGTGCCAGCATAGGCCAGTAGGAGACTAAGGAAGCTGGCTTTTGCCATGTATAAACCAGGTGACATCAACCTGATGAAAAGGAAAAGATCATGGGGCCTATATGGCCAATACATACATATACACCCACAAACATCCACACAACGGATCAACCCCTTCTTCTTGTGCCAAAAATGTTACCATTTCCAAGGAAATGGAGTTACTTCTCTTTTCCATTGTCATTCAATTTAAAAGTTCTTATGTGTTTCCACGCCCCTTCGAGACCCCGCAACATTCATTTTCTTATGAACACATACAAGTTTCGTCACTACTTCACTATTCTGTGTGTGTGTGTGTGTGTGTGTTTCAATCCACTGGATAAAAATTAGAAGAATATCAAAACTTTTGATTTCTAACCAAATATCTTATAGCTTATTGCCTAGAAGACAGCCAGAAAAAAAAGGGTACTACTGAAGGTGCCCGTGTTAAATCTTATATAAATTGAATTGGAAGAGTAATCTCATTTTGTATCTCACGGTTACAGGTATGGTTTATACCAAGTTATTCCCTTACCAGTAAGTTGAACTATCCCAACAACTTCAAACTCCTGGGCTGACACAAGAGAGCGTTACCACCAGTATACAGGAAATAGTTAAACTTTAGATTTATATCATGGAAGACCTAGATGTACCCTGAAGCTTTGGATTTATATCATGCAGCAAATTACAAAAGAGAGCTTTCCCAGGGCTGACTCATAAAATTTTTCAAACCAGCACCACAACAAATACTCTCTCTCACACACACAATATGACATAGTTTTACCTCGAGGTTCAAGCAGTTTGTAACTTTGTATATGTTGTCTTTGTAGAGGAACAGTACAATCTTGGATTGGACTGGCCCCCTTCACATGACTTAGAAAGAAAAAGAAGTCTGTGCTACTATAAGGCCTCTAATTTTCTCCCTCAAGACACTGTTGCGTTGCCTGTGGGAAGGCGGTATCCCTAACTTCCATAGGTCCTTGGTTCGAACTCCTAGTGAGAATTTAAGTCCTTGCGCGGGTGTCTCCTCCCTTGGACTTGTTTGCTCTGTATGGAGTGCCCCGTGGTTCCACGAGTGCCAACCACAGACACAAATGCCATCAACTAGTGCGCTATTGGCCACTAACCAATATGTCAACTCAAGTAAACTTTGTTTTAACTATTTATGGTCGGCTACATGAATAATGTTTCATTATTGTGCTTTATCAAGGGATATATGTCATGTCAAATCACAAGATACCATATCTTTTTTTTTTTTTTTGTCGGTACATCGGAAAGGTTCAAAATCGATCAAAATCCTCTCACATAGGCGATACTAGCACCTATCATTTCCCAAAAGCACTTCCATTGAGCAAGGTGGGGAGTTGAGGAGCACTAAATTATCATTTTGATTGACACCCAAATTTTGCAAGATTATCTGCGCTGAAATTTCCTTCTCTTCTAGTGTGATGGATGAGACAATTGAGAAGAGTGAGAAGCTTTTTTACTATCTCGTTGAAAGTAGTTCTCTATATTTCCATACAGTACAAACATTAAAATGACTAGAATATCAGCCTATGACATCTAGGAATATATCCCAGATTTGTCTAGGACATACATTGACCAACCTCATGATAAAAACCAAAAAGACACTAGGGCTTTGAAAAGGAAAAAATTTGGACAGAAAAGGGAGCGTATACTGAAAAAAGGAATACCTCTAAGAGATGTGCCTCCCAGGACTTGTGAGCTACGAATTGCTGGTGAGATATAGAGGGGACTGATTATTTTGCACCTAAAAGCTATCTACCTTCTTTGTTGATCAATTGGGAAAAAACTCGGCTTGTTGTTATGTCTGAAGTCCCATCAATGTTATCTCCCTCACTCCCTATATTAGTAGAGCGAATTGCAGGAACAACTCTCTGTGTTGCGAGCTCTGAAGCAGTGATATTACTATCTTCATGAAGTTCCCTTTCCCTTCCAGTTTCCTGAAGCTGAAGTGCATATTCCAAATTCCACAGCACATCACCCATTGTTGGCCGATCAACACCATAGTCAGCCAAACATTTCTCTGCTGTCTCCGCATATTTTTTCAAAGAGCTTGGTTTTATCTCACCTATTATATGGGGATCAACAATTTGCTCAAGTAGCCCCTTTTTCTGAAATTCCATTGCCCATTCAGCCAAATTCACCTGCTCCCTGGAAAGCAATGGGTCTACAGCAGGTCTAGCACAAAGAACTTCAATAAGCACAACACCAAATGAGTAAACATCTGATTTATCTGTAAGCTGCTGCCTCCGAAAATATTCTGGATCAAGATACCCAAAGCTTCCTTTTACACCAGTGCTTACATGGGTCTCATTGAGACATGGACCGGACTTTGAAAGGCCAAAATCTGCAACCTTAGCAACATAATTTTCATCAAGCAATATATTGGTTGATTTAATGTCACGATGGATGATCCCGTGTGCTGAACCCGTATGAAGGTAGTGAATGCCTCTTGCTGCGCCAATACATATTTCAAGCCTCTTCTTCCAAGATAAAGGTAGTAATGCTGAACCATATAAATGCTTTTTAAGTGGCCCTTTCTCCACATATTCATAAACAAGTATCATTTCGGACTGTTCTTCGCAGTAGCCAACAAGTGAAACAAGATGGAGGTGGCGAATTTTCGACAGAATTATTATTTCAGTCTGGAATTCAGGCAGCCCTTGCCTGGAACCTGGTACACCTCGCTTCACAGCTACCCTCATGTTGTCTCGAAGGACCCCTTTGTAAACCATACCGAATCCACCAGAACCAATCATCAAACTTTTGTCAAAATTATTTGTCGCCGATTGAATATCAGCAAAAGCAATTCTTAAGCCAAAATATCCATTCAAGCCTGGTGACGCAAGAGCAGTCCCTTCAGACAGTGTAGCAAGTGAACTGCCTCCATATGCACGAAGAGGTGTCCAACCCATACTTTCTGCAGGTTTCGATTTCGTTTTTCTCTTCCAGCATCTTACTGCAATAAAAACTGCAAATATTGCCAGACATAAAACAACAAAACCTCCAACAATTGAACCAACCAAAACCCCAATGTCATTCTTCTTAGACACAGTTTGTGGAGCCACAAAATTTACCAACTTCATGATCTCTACTCCATTCAAAATAGCATTCTTTCTCAAAGAAGTACTCAGTTCAGAAGGGCCAACACTAATCCTCAGAACTCCAGAATTATCCGAATCCACAACAAAATCAATGTAGTAAGGAGATGCAAGCACATGGTATGTTAGGACAGAGAGATCAAGATCTTTATAAGCAATAAACCCATTGATAAACACATTGAAGTACATCTGGTTAAGTGCAATACTAACTATGTCACAGAAATGCAGGCGAACTAAGTGTCGAACACCTCCCAATCCCACTGGAAACTCCCACGTTATATTGAACATAAAAATTGACGTTACATTATCCCTATTCATCTGCTGTGCAGTCATATATACATAATCAGGAGCAATCTCTCTGGTGGCGCCGCCTTCCTGAAAATTCGGGACATGTGTAGTGCTCGCAATTTTAGCAGCAGACTTCAAAACAAGGAAGTCCTCATCAGGAAGCCAAGACCTCCAAAGGGTATCATTGAAAGGGGTCAACTTTGAACCCCCAACATTAATCCTATGAACTGTTTCTAAAATCTGTGAAGAAATGTTCTTAAACTCTTCAACTCCATTAGGATCAATTAACTTAGTCCCGTGATCAAGAATAAAATCATCAGGAGCCGAAAACACTTCAATTGCATTAACAAACGCAAAACCCGAATCACCTATAGGCGCAAACAATATTTCGAACTCTACCTTATCTACCTTCAAGATAAACTCTCTGAGCACAGCAAATTCAAAACTAAAATTGCCCAAAAGGGAAACCCCATTAGCCGAAACGCTGAAATTTGCATTATTGAGATTGTAATTCTGAGAAGTGAATGGAGAGAAATGAAGCCGTACCAAATGGATGCCAATTTTCCTGATGCTAAATGTATAGCTTGAAGCACTAGTGAAGACTCTAGCTGTACTGTAAAGCATAGATGAATTCAAAAATGGGTTTGTGTTCGTGAGAGAGATCGATTGTCCTGAAGAAAGATAAACCGAACCCAACTTCGTCGAATCGCCGATAAAGTTTCGGTTATCAACCGTGGTGTTTGCCTTTGATCCACAGTCTATGAGGTAATTGTCACGGGGTGTGAAAGCAGCTGATAAATGGATGAGATAGAAAGTCAGAGAGAGAAAAGGAACAACCTTGGTGTCCATCAATGTAAGATTTCTGGGTTTGGAAGAAAAATGGGTTGTGAGCATTGGGCAGGAGAGAGAAAGTGAAGGAATTTTTTGAAGGAGACACAAGTAACTGATTTAGAGAGATGGGAATGTGATGCATCTTCGCTTTCCATCCATGGAAAATATATATAAATTTGTGAATTCAACCAACAGTACAGTTCATTTCCACTATAAAGACGTAAGGTAATGGCATACAGCCGAATAGAGATTGAAGTTGAAGAAAGAGAAAGCGATGCAACAAAAGAGGGTTTCACTGGTGAAGCTTTTGCAAGTTCAGCAACAGTGAAGATGGATTGCCAATGGAAATTAATTGATTTGTCGACAGTTTCAAAAAAACAAAAATAGTAAAAATGTTTTTTCCTTTGAACTGTTGATGTGGACCAATCGGCCAGCTGTCCCATGCAAGTGTTTTCAAGGAGCACTGAAGCAATGTAAGAACAGAACATAGAATAGTCCCTGGCTTATATACTTCACCTTTTTGTTTTTTTCTAGAATTTTTTTCAAGCGTAGAATTTTCTGGAACCAATGCAATGACCCATTTAAAATTACAGTACTCAAATAAATTTAAAAATTTGCGATCCAAATATGTATCATTTTTTGGAAGAATGGATGTATCAACTTTTTTATAGTGTAACTTACTCGTTTAAGAAATGATATGTATTTAAATTTTATTTGAATTATGTAATATTTTTCTTAAAGTAATTATAAGTTTCATAAACCTTAGAAGGCAAATGGTTGATTAAGAACAATTGATTGCAAATCATTGTAATTAGAGTAATACTACACAATATAAATAGAATTCAAAAAATTACAACTACCATCGTTTAAGAAATAATATTTATTTTGACTGTAATTTTTAGATTTTATTTAATCTGTATATCACTTTTTTAGTTAAAAAAATCTCGTTGAGGTGTTCTTTCAAAAATAGAAAAGTCCGTTTCGAGTGACTTTCTAGTTTTTTTTTATTTTTTTGTGTCAAACAAAAAATAATTTATGTATGTATATATTATACATAATAGTTCCCAAAATATAAATTTTAAAAATTTTTACGTCGCTAATAATATTTTATTAATATAACAAATTAAAAAATTATGCAAGACCTACAACAAAATTCTAAAAAGTCGAAAGAAAAGTTTAGAAAATCGACTTATTGAATCATCTGTAATAAGTTTTTTTCGTCCAAAAAACTGCAGCATAAATTGGTAAAAAAAACCCAAGGTTCAAATGAACTTGACTTTTAAAAATTGACACAGTAACAATAACAGTCGTTGTCACAATAATACAATCACATTAATAGCAATGCTCGTGTGAAAGATTTAAGGGCTAATAACTGAGAATAAAGCTACTATAGAAGGTGTCAATGCTAGAGCATATAGTGGTGGTTGGGTAGATAGTAACACGATCACAGTATGAGGCACAGTCACTGTCAAAAATTTATGGAATTAGACAGTAATGTGAATTAGATAGTCACACGATCATAGTAACAACCACAGTTATTATCAAATTTTTTTGAAATCAGATAATAATGTGAACTAAACAGTCACATGATCACAGTAACAACCACATAAACATAATAATAACAACAATCACTATCAAAAATCTATGAAACTAAACAATAATGTGAACTATATAGTCATACGATCACAGTAACAACTACAAAACCACTAATAGAACGGTTCATTAGTTTAAACAGGAAAAAAAATTACATAATTTTCTAATTCATATCAAAACAAATCTAAGATCAATATATCAAAACTACCAAGTAAAAGTTGAGATTTAGAAAGTCTTTGCAAAAAAGAAAATTAATAAAACACTTAGCTCATGCATTTCATCAAACACTATTTGGGCATAGCAAATAAACCGAAGAATAACACCAAAAAAAAAAATAAAGTAAAACATAAAATTTAAATTGTTATAACTAAAAATTTATATCAGTTTGTGGAGGCGACAGAAGGTAGATAAATCGAGTAAACAAATCCCAAAACTAAGAAAAGTTGTTGAGTCCGCCGATTATTCTTATCTGTGTGTTTGGTCTTTGTTCTTTAGATCTTGATTCTAATGTGGCAATAGCAGCAGAGTAACAGACCATGGTAGTAGCCGGAGAAACTAACAGATCTGGAAGATCAAAAGATATTAGGTTATGAGGAGTAAGGAATACTTTTTCACCTATTGTAGAAGCAACGTTGACACATTGATGTCCCATTGTATTGAAAGATATAATAAGTATTTTTAAAAGAGTAATGTTATATGCATTTAAAAAATAGACTTGATAATCTCGACCATTGAATAGACAATAAATTTCAATAAATACTAGGATACACAGTAAAATCAATGGTTGAGATTATCAAGTTTTATTTTTAAGTTTTTTTAAAAATGTAATACAAACAGTTGGCCCTACTTACCAAAAATTGCACGTAATATGTCTTTATTTACCCAATAAATTCAAATTTGTCCTTAATGTCAAAAGATATTCTTATACTATACTTGATTTTAATTTTTACTTTTAAAAAAAATCACACTTGTTGCTAAAAATTACCCAATCAGCCCTTCTTACCAAACAAGACTTTCTAGAGATGTGACTTGTGACTGTTATTGGTGTTAGTGAGTGCCAGTGAGGCTGTGACTAACAATGACGGCGAAGGGGCTGAGACTTTTGGAATACAAACAAAACTTGGCTGGCATCAACTTAATTCTCGTGGCATAATATAAAAGATGACCGACTCGTATCGAAATAATACTCCCTTCATTTTTAAATATCTATCGTTTAAAATTTTTACATAAGAATTAAGAAAGTTATTAAATAACTTTAATACGAGTAAAAAATAATTATACAAGATTAAAATATTCTTATTCAATACGTATTAAAAAAAAAAAAGAATATAAAAAATATTTAACCTCTACATAATTTAATGCATTTAAAAGTTAAGGATAAATTTAGAAGAAAAAATATTAATTATGCTTTAATTTCATTAAACGACAGATATTATAAAATAAAAAAAATTATGTAAAATAACAGATATTTAAAAACGGAAAGAATAATTAACTTCAATAAAATTTTTACTAATTTAGTTATCTTAGGAGTTTTTTGTTTCTTTTTTATTATATCTCAACTATTCTAAATATCACTGTAACCGTGATATTATCCTGTTCACTACCAAATTAGTTCTGAATTTTATGTAAAACTGCATCTCTCGGGTATGTAAAGTGATTTTTGCCTTTCAAATTTTAGACTTTTTTTGTAAGGCAAATCATGTTAGTGGTAGGCCAAATCCGTTGAAATTCTGTTCTGATAGTTGGTGGATGTCTTTTTCACGTGACGAGTAAAAAGATAAGGTCTTGCCATTGATAGGATTCTTTGACTTTTGAGTCAAAAATTAAATTGACAGTGCGAAGAGTGATATTCTCACGTCGGTTTGTGTCGATATTAGTAGTAACAAAAAATATTTAATAATAAACATCCCAAACTTTACTAGTCGAAGAAAAAAAAACAAAAAATTCTTGTTTTTTTTTTGGGGGTACAATATCAACATAATGACCTACTCGTGTTCAACATTTATCAGATCTATTTATTATTCTATTTATTATTAAATAAAAATCGTATCATTTTTTTTTCCTAAGGATAAACCACTGCAACTCCTTACCAGCTCCACATAATGTCCAAACTTTCAATAACATTCTCTATTTTTAAGCTATTTTATATTTATGCAATACATTGTACGCAATATACATTATCATAAATACATATGACTTATAGTTTTTAACGTTTGACGATGATCAAGATGGGTGGGGGTGGGGGTGAAGATGCGGACGAGTGACGGGGGCAGTAATCAAAATTTACCTATGGGACACGACGATAAGAATGAAAATTAAAACATACTCCGCTAACGAGGGTGGACAAACTTTTTTAAATGGGTATGAGTCTAAAGACAAACAAAGTTGCTGTGAGATCTCGAATTTTCTAATAGAAATATTGAATTTGAGTAAGTAGAAATAATATAAAATTTTGTGGAGGAAAACATAATTAATATTACACGTTGTGACATATCTATAATTAATAAAACTAAAATGTTACAAACTATAATTGAAGCTACTTTGTTTGTTGGCTGGCCATCATTAACGTGAATGACCTACTTAAAGAAGACAAAAGAAAGTTGATAAAAGAAGACAAAAAAAAGATAACAATGGTGATGTGGCGGTTATGACTCCTCTAATGAAAGTGTGTGTGGTGTCATGTAGACAGAATGTTAGAGCAAATATTCTGTGTGTGTGTTTTGGAAAGAGCGAGTGTATGGAAACATAAGGAAAAAAAATGAAAATTTTGAAAAAATGAGAAGTTGTTGGCCAAAACAACAAAAAAAAGGAGAAAGAGATCTAATCTGAGAGTTTTACAAGAAAATTGAATCGATGTTTTCAATCCGTTTGAATTAAAGTTCAAGTATGATATTTGTGTATTAGATATTGATTTCTACTGGGAATTGGATAAATGGTTTATACACAGGGGCAAAGTTGGAAAAAAAAATTAGGGTGGCACATTAACATGTTTTAATTTTTTTTTAATACATCGTAAAAGTTCATAAATTTATATTTATTAAAATTATATCTAATACTTTTTAAATATAAAAGATTAAAAATCGATATACATAACGTGAATAAAAAAATAATAATTAAATTTTTTTGTCGAAAATACAACTAATTATTATTACGTTACAATAATTTTGGGTTATTGCATCACTTTTTATTTTGCGACGATACATTTACCGTGGCATACTTAATTTTTTTGCGACTATTCATAATGTCATCGTTTAAAATGATTTATTTGCAATGGTAAGCCATAGTCGTGGCAACAAATACAATAAAATTTTATTTTTTGCGATAGGAATTTTTTCCGTCGCAGACATTTTTGTTTGTGTTACATTGAGGATTTGTTGTGATAATTAGTCTATATAAAACGAGGTCGTCACGTAGATCTATTATTCAAATGATATTATTTTGAAGCTCTATTGTTAGTTCGAAACGCCGCCGTTTGAATAAAGTTTTGGGTAGAAATTTTTCTCTAAAAATAAAAAGGTGAAATCTATGTCCTCTTCACAAAACTAACACACTCTCGGTCTTCCCAATTACAACTACAAATTACTGTTCCATGGTTGGCCTTCTTCATTGTTCACACCTCGAAACCGTCCCCTACCTACTCTCTCTTTCTTTCTAAAGCCCCCCTCTCTTTCTCTCTCAAACCTCTATCGAAAGCTTCTGGCTTCTACTCTGTTCGTGTGTGCAGGACCAGGAGATTCAGAAGAGGCAACG